GTGAGAAACAAATGGGTAATATCTACATATTGAAAGGTCTATCTGTAAGTTCTATATCAGGAAAGTTCAACACTCAGTTACACAGCATAGCAAATCTCGACGCTCTCTTCTCCACAACCCCCCAACTCCAATCCCAAACCCGCCCCTCAAATCAAAATACTCACCGCCGTCCTCTCCGGCGCCAGCACCCGATACAAAACCGTCCCATCATCCACCCCCAACGCAATCTCATTGACCGTCCCCTCCAACGCAACCAACTCCTCATAAAACCTCCCCGCCACCTCCTCCCTCTCCCCCGTCCCATCACTGTCCCCCGCTACCCCGCGCACGCTCAACGCGTACTCCAGGAGCGACTGATCATCCGCTACAACGCTACTCAGCAGATACGGCAGATGCGACGCGAGCAGCCACGAGCGCGGTTCGCGCACAGGAAGCGAATCGATGAGGTTTTTCTCCGTGTAGGATTCCAGTTCGTGCAGGGAGGAGGGGAGAGCCGCGAACAGGGCAGAGGGTTTGTTCGGGACGAAGGCTTGGTAGTAGTCTTGCAGATAGTTGACTGCGGTGTGTTGGGTGCTGGCGATGTGGATGCACATGGTGACTGCGTCTGTGAGTTGGTCGAAGGTGGTGAGTGTTGGGAACGAGGAAATATTCGCTCCCTCTGCGCTTTGGATCTCGCGACACCAATTTTGGAGTTGCGCGTCGGAAGAGACAGCCGCGTCGGAGGGATACGCAGAGCGCAGCATGCCGGACACGAAACGTCGGAGGGTGTACCAGATATGTTTCATGTTGCGCGCGTAGGCATAGTTGTGGAATTTGGGGGCGTCGAGTTCGGCGAGGGGAAAGCCGCGGGCGGCGAGATCGTGCGGGATGTAACCGCCGACGAAATCAAAGGTTTCGTACTGCGAGCGCACCATTTGGAGACTGCCTTTGGAGGGGAGCCCGTTGATGTGCACGATGACTTGGGGGATGAGACTTGCTCTTGCGGCGGCGTTGAGGGGGAGGGTTTTGAGCCAGTGGGGGGCGAGGAGTTGGAAGACGGGGTGGGTTTCAGGGAGGTGGCGGTGGGAGGAGATGATGATTCCTTCTTCGATGAGATGGGTGTGGGTGAGATGGGAACCCAGTTCGTGGGCGTGCCAGTCGGATACTTGGGCGCATTGTTTTGCGTAGCGCCAGGGCCAATCGGTTGCTTCGTGGGTTTTGGGGGATGAAGGGGAAGTACGCTTATTGAAGAGAGTGAGAGAATCGGTGATATTGGTACGATAGTCTAGGATTATTGCAAGTGGATGGAGAGTACCATTTGGGAGGAGACTATTTGGGTTAGTACGATTTTATTTTATTTCATGATGGTACGAAATTTAGTGCGGAATGAAAAGAGATAACGGTTAGCCCCACGTAACTTTCTTCATCCTTGCGGAACGGCGCGGCTTGGGCTGACTGCAGGGCTGAAGACTTTCCAGCTTATGTACGTAGGGGATACGAAGTCATGTCGTACTTTGTCCAATCAGGATTGATTATGCAAATGACGGCGCTTACGAGATGAAGCTTACAGCTGACAGCTCGCTCTCGTGCTCGTGCTCAACATACTCTGCAAAGAGATGAAGAAGTGAAAACATGAAACGAAACAAAATGTAAAAAAACAAGCAAGTCAAAAAAGAAAACTCAACACTCACTGAAAAAGACTAACACTCGCACACCCAAATCTCTTCCCATCATCACTCTTCAAATCCTCCCCCTGTGCCACCCCCGCAAACTTACGGAAATAGCTACAATCCTGCACATACAATCCTCCCTGCCTCTCTCCCTCCTCAATAACCCTCAAACTATCTCTTTTCTGCTGCGCACTAGCTGCCGCCTTGAACCTCTGAATCCATTCCTTCTCTGCCTTTCTAATCGTCACCGGATTTACCCCCGTAAATTGTTGTTGCGCATATACTTCATCACTATACCAATCTTTTCGCGTCCCTATATTGGCTACTTTTCCAATATCTCTTCTTTCGTCAAAGAGTTTTTGGTTAACACTTTCGATGAGAGCGAATGTGCGTTGATTTGGTTCATCATAGGCGAAATCGAGAAATTTTTCGGGAATCACTTTTTGCACTATGGGAGCTGTGGCGAAGAGTCGCTCTGGTTGAAAGATTTTGAGAGAGTGAAGAAAATCAACTTTGGGTTCAAGACTTAGATGAGGGGGGTAGCCGTCTGAACCGGGAGTTTGGAATTGGAAACGCTCTTTCTTCTCTTGAAGGGAGATGGGGGCGGTAGGAAGGTGAGATTCCAATTGATGAACGTCGAAGAAAGAAGCGAATCTATCATTGATCAGTTACTTGACTCTTGATATTGAATTTTGTGGGAATCATACGATTTGTTGACTAGAGTATAAACTTCTGAAACTGCTTTCTTGGTCCCGATATATGTACCCGTAGCAAATTTAGCTTTACCGGAATCTTCTTTCAATTTGTTGTGATCATGTTCTCCAGCGAAGATAGAATGAGCAAGAAGTTCTGCCTTGAGAACTCCATGATTCCATTCAATGGGGAAGCGTTTAGGCGGTGGAGCCTCATGTTTTCCATGATGTAGTATATTTTCAACTTTTTGAAATATGCCCGGCATGTTGAAGAAATGATTGAGAATCCGAACGAGCAAATTGAAGATGAATGTAAACATTCGTGGGAGAGACAAAGAGAGTATGAGGCGGTTATAAATCGATGTCTTATACCGTAAAAAATGACAAGGTGCAACAGAAGGAATGATTGTATAATACACAAAGATATAAACCAAAACTAATTGGTATATTTACTTCTCAAGAACGAGGGAAGAGAGGGAATTATGTAGTAAAATCATGGCTGTGCACTGATATTGCTCGGTGTGAAGAGTGGTGGCTCCAGGGCTGACTTGTCTAAAATATTACATGTTGGGGTCCTAGAATGGGATAACAGTCAGCAAATAACTCAGCTGAAGCCCCAGTTCCATCACAGCTTAATATCAGGCTGATGCAAATTCGAAAATGCGCAGACATATCAAATGCTGACCGAGTATCTTATGGTCGGTGTCAACAACCAAGTATGCCAAGATTCCACATAGCTCAAGTAACCAAAATTTGATCATGGACTTCCTCATTGAGCAACACAAAAAGTTTCATTACTTGCAGGTGCTATAATTTCTATTTTGCTGTAGAGCTTTTGTATAACCCTTCGCTAATTTCATCAATGTTATTACCAAGAATGTGAGAGGTAAGTGAGGTCATGCTAGGTCGATTCCTCGAATTTCCTAGATTACTCCTTCGCCAGTGTTGTCAGTGGTGGTTCGACCTTCTTGTAAATCGTCAGTAACTCCTCGCTGAAATCATCCAACATAATAAGCCGAAATTGCTTTCCCCATCGATTTTGGAACGACCGTTTTTTATATTCATGGTTCAAACCACTGCTCCAAGCCACCAATTCAACGTTCCATCCTTTCAGAAGCGCCCTCTCCACATTCTTGAAAAATCCTCCCGAGTATTCGGCCTCGGCCCCATCTCCCGTTGCCAAGACAATGGTTGACGGTATTGGGTAATCGGCCAAAGTTTCGAGCATTTTCATATGCAATATTTCATCTACGCCCTGCTCGACATATCCAGATTTCGTGGATTGTGATGAGATGGAAGTTTCAGGTTTACTCGATTGTCCAGTAAGGTATCCATTTCCTTGTCCTCCTCGCGCTTTTTCGATTGTGTGCTGCCTTGCTTTATACACCCTCTTAAGAATATTGGTTTCGTAGCCACACGTCTCAGCCTCGCCAAAATGAGGTGCTAAGTCTCTTTCATTTGATCTGGATCCAACCAAGATTCGTTTAGCGACAGGCCGATTTCTCTCCAGAATTGATGCTAGTGAACAATATGAGAAAGGTGGACTTTCAACCATCCTTTCACTCTCAGGAAATCGCCGTGCACTTTTTAAAACGTTCTGGAATCCAATTATAATGTTGCTGAAATCAACAAATACATGTATGTCTTCCTTATTTGAAGACCTGACTGCTTCGTCGAGCCTCAATTGATTTGATAGCTTTTTAACTATCCTGATCCACTTTTCTTCGCGAGTCAAATCGTGAAGAGGATATATGACGCCCTTTTTGAGGACCGTATTCTTATTTTCGGGGGTATCAACGATAGCAGGACCATTGCTGAAGTGTTTTGCAGATTTCGTCCGTGAAGGTGTTTCAACCTCTGATTCAAGTCCGCTGCTCTCATTCTCATCCGTCCATGGATCAGACAATACCTGCCTGCGTGTCTGTTTGTGTACTCTCGGTGATTGGATATTGAAAAGACGATCTGCAGGAAAGGGAGATCTAACATCTGTTTTCGTTCGAGAGATTTGCCTTATCGGCGTCTCTTCCGGGAAAGATATCAAGTCTTCCCTGGACTTTGCTCGTGTCCCTCGCTGTTGTACTTTCGGAAATTTCGCACCTTGAACCTTATCTTTCCATCGTACCGTTCTTGTTTTCGTAACATAGTCTTGGTAGATATCCGGAATATCTGAATCATCCGTCGCAGAAGATGGCAGACTATTAAGATCAGAAAAGAGCCCTTCAGAAGTATAAGAAGATGGTGCTGACTCATTTGGTTCAGCATCAGGATCTTGACAAGTTGTCGGAGCATCGACACCCAAGTGATTCCATATTGGAGTGAAATCACCCAAGGTACGTGCACCTCTGTCTACTAATGAGGGCTCGTCTTCAGGTAGAAAATAGTAAGAATATGGTAAATCGCTGTTTAAAGTCGAAGTAGAAAGGAGATTGTGAAGCTCGATGGCACAAGTCAGGTCCCATGGCTGCGATGTATGGGATTCGGTCATGTAATTAATGTGAGGATCGACCTAGCAGAAGATGCTCAAGCCGAAGAAGTTGTCTTAAGTGTAGTATCTGATAGGGTATTGAGACTATGGGGAGGATTGAAGTTAGTGATCTGATCTGATAGCTCTGATAAGAAGTACAGTGGCAAAATAGCAGTTGCCGTTGCGTAACTTACAATGAATTGGGAAATGATGTTTGCAAGTATAATCATACTTCTCGCTGTAGATTTTGATGTTGCCGTTGCCGTTGTTATCTATTATGGATTAAGAATGAATGATACCAAGTTGAAGTTCAATGAAGGTAAATAACAACAGGTTAACTTAAGTATTTGCATTGCAGTACGATAGATGGAGGCGGTTTCTTCTTCAAGAGGTCGAATTCGGATAGAGGAACCTTGAATGATTCACCTGAACATCCACCTACCGAGCCTCCCTGCGCCTTATTACCTAGGTAGGGTACTAGGTAGCTATGTACCAATTGCATTGCATTGTTGAAAAGGCTGTCGGGCGATGTACTGTACTAGTGTTGTTGGTGGCACGGACACTTTGTTTAGTAGGTAGGAGAAGCAGTCCCGCGTGGCAAAGATCTGGTATGAAACCCAAATCTTCGATGCTTACATAATCTGATCCGCCTTGGAGATAGAGTCACGTGGAGAAGTCAACAACACAACGTATAATCAGGACATCACATACGATGTAGGTAGATTATGTGTATCATAGAATTGTAACATTGCCTACTAGGTGCACTTCCTTTCATTCCCTTCATATTCATCTCCATCTCTTTTGCGATGAAGCTTCCTCGATTCCCCCCCTCAAGACCCCAACTACCTTCAGGCTATGTTGATCAGGCTTTCTAGTGGAAACCAACAACTCTCGTATTCGTATATTTGCAATGCAATCGGACGGATATGCCTTGCCATGTTACAATCATGCATATATAGATATTCCAGATATTGACAGATACACTTCTCATGGCAAACCATCTTATTGCCATCAACATCCCAAGGCCTATAGTCTATAATCATGATCAGAGTTGGTTTTGAATTATTAAGGCTATGTCAAGAGAACCTTCGTTTTGCATCTCAAAATAATCAATTCCATGTTTAATAAATCCTTCAAGTAGGGAAAATCACTGCTATCCATCATCTTGCCCTTTTTCATTGCCAATTCTCCCATTGTATATTTCCGACTCAATGCCCATTTCATTTGCTTAATTGTCCTCATCGTAATCCATCATCATCATCATCATAATCACAGATATTACAATCACTAATTTTATGTTCTCCCTCCCTTCCAAAGCACAGCTCTCACGTTGAAGTACTATTAGTCATCTTCTTTTGCCAATTCCTATTCCAAACCACGACAAGAAATTTTCCTTCTTCGTATCGGGAGAGATGGTTGGAGAAATCGAGGGACTGCTAAAGGTACTAGATCTACGTCTCTCTCGTGGAGTGTAAATCACCTCGGATGGTTTACCTATATGTTTATGACTGTTAGATCAATTTATTGAAATATTATTCTATCCAAGCGGAGGAGGAAAAACAAAGATCACTTACGAATATTCCCCGCTCCACCAATGCCATATGATCTGCGTCGTTCGCTCTGTACATCTTTTGTTGCCGATCCAAAGGATTCCCCAAAGATTTTGTTCGTTCCCTCATCAGAAGGTGGAAATTTTGATGCCATCGTTATCGACTTTCTCTTTTCTGGTAGTGATTTTGCCGTTGAGGGAGCAGGTCCAGATATGACTGCAAGCAGATAATAACTTCCAAATTCCCTATTTGAGTTATTTGCCTCGATTTTTGTGCCTTTCGAGTGATTTGACAAGTGCCAATTTTGGCCAAGTGAAGATCGACGTGATTCTTGATAACTTTGAATAGGTTCGGCGATGCTATGATCTGAAGGAAAAAGAAGTTGTTCAAGAGAAGAATTTTCTGCACGATATATCGTATTTGAGGTTTGTCCTGCAATCTTTGATGAAAATCTTGACTTAATTCTTGAGCGCTTTTTAGAACCAGACCTTGAACATGAAAAAGATGACGACAAGAAAACAAAGGGTGAAAGAGACACCATATCTATCTCTATGTTCGTATCTACGCCAAATCTGTGGAGGCAAGTTCGGCAAATGATAGACAGAAGGGGTGAGGAGAAACGAGAAAGCAGATTGGTTGCAATGTATGGCATACCGAATATATACATCATCTGGCACCTGATTTCTCTGGAGACAATCGCCCACACAATAAGAATCATGCCTATGTGGAGATATGTTAACGGGTTTTCATAGGGTATCCAAAATGTGATTATCTTGATTGAGCCATGAGATGCATTACCAGTATGACGTTACATGATCGCGAATCGCTTGTATGGAAGCTTTTTCTCTGTTTTGAATATCATAGGCATATCTAACGGTTCATTGCAAGAGACATACATACCGATCGGCCCATAAACAGCAAAATCCCTTCCCTGGTTGTCACTGGATAGATTGCAAATTACCAACGGCAGCGAGCCATCTACCGTATATGCATGAAGCCATGTGAAATGGGCATTGGCAGGGGTGAGAGGAGAGACGAATTTCATATAAAAAACGGCACCAGGGTTTTTGGGAAACACAAGCTTTGTGGGGGGCGCGCACGCAGGCCATACGAGGCATGCAACGTTATCTTTATCCATGTCCAGATCTGCAATGAGTTACCAACCTGGAAACCCCGCAGACAAGCTTTTGCGGGGTACCGATTTAGGTATGTCATGATAACAAACATGAAATCTTGACCTTTCAAACTAATTCATTTGTTTTGATGAAATGTTTTCCGTGAAACTTATGTATTTTGACTTTGATCGGTCATTTTCAATCAAGATTCTCTGAATGACCAAAAATCAATGCCGATTCCCGTTTACCTACCACAGAAAGACCAAAGTTTATATCCACGATTTCACAAAAACGTTGCAAACATTACGAATGTCTCAAATCCCAGTGTCTCATTCCCTATTCACTCTATCCATCTTCCTACAATCTAATCTCAAATCCATCTATAGTGTTACATTGACTTCACTCCAACTATGGGCGGGGCATTGCATAAGTGTACAGTGACACCCGTCAAAATGTCCAAACCCGTTTATCGCGCTTCTGCGCATGCTTTACATGGACGGGGCGCAACTATCCATTGAGTCGGATTGGTCGAGTCTTATAATTTGTGTTACGTTGTGTAGCGCTTTGTGTTACGGATGGGCTTTTATGCGAGTTGGTCTTTCTTTTGGAGATTGTGTATGGGTCTGAATGCGAGAATTATGCAGGTGCCAAAAAGGGGTTGCAGATAATCTGGGCATTCTGGGTGCTGTGAAAGATGTCAATTGTGCAGTGATGTATGTCTGATTATGGGTATGTCATGTAAGATCTTATATCAGGTCTCATACGAGGTCTTGTGTAAGATTGAATTATGCATGAAGTATCAAACATCATTCGAGGCACGTGTAAGAATTATGAAACTCGGAGACTGAGTGGTCTTTGGAATTTGGAATGGTATATGATAATATATGGTGCGAAGAGAGTATTTAGGACGGGAGCTCGAAGACACAATAGGGATCTGAAACGGCTGTTTTGTCAAGGTTTTGTTTGCACTGGCGAATTGCTTCCATACCATAAACTCGCACATGTCTTTTCAGAAAGATACTATTTATCCAGGAGAGCCTCTGGCATTAGGAAACTCTGGTCCTTGTGGACAATGAAGTCAAGGAGTAAGCGGCGATAAAGATACGAGACGGTATGGTTGTTTCTCAATATATCAATTCAATCTTTTGTGCAAGAAAATTGCATTATCTTTTCAAGTAACAATAGGAGAGAGACATACGAAGTGAAATACTGCGAGTATAATAAAGAATATCCTCATTGTTTGTAAGGGCTCACATCAATAAACATGCACTGTGGTGCAGTTTCTACGCGTGGCAAGATATAACTCAATAGAAACATATTCATGCTTCTAATCCCGCAGATGTATATTGAAGATTCTGTGGTGATAAGTCAGGGGATCAAGAACTAAAAGGTGACTATCGTGATTGTGCCACCAACATGCATGAACCAACTGCATGAGATGTTGAATTATTACAATTAGCTATCTCCAAGTAGAAAAATCAAAATTGAAAGTTATTAGACACGGAGTTATTTTTCATTCCTTCGAAATCAACATATATCATCGTCACCATCGCCATCTTCGTCGGGGTCGAATAATCCTTCCTCTACAATGTTTCACATCATCCTGTCCATATTTGTGGGGGCTTCGGCTCTTCTATTGTATACCATTACCAACCAACGGACCACAAGAACCAAAACCGCACGACAATACAATTGTGATATTCCATTCACTTATCCCCACCTCGATCCAATCTTTGGAACGGACCTGAAGTTTCAAGAGATTCAACAGTCTCTACGCCATCAGAGCATCACTTTCTCTGCAAATCTCCACAAAAAATATGGAAAGACATTTGAAGTCGTCAACTTTGGCACTTCCTCACTGAGAAGTATAGACACGGAAAATATCCAAGCAGTCTATTCTACAAATCATAACGATTGGGGCTATGAGCCCTCAAGACTATCTGTCATGGGGCCTTTTTGTGGTCGTGGATTCATCACTACAGATGGGGATACATGGCAAAAAGCCAGGGCTCTTCTACGTCCAACTTTCAGCAAGTCGAATATCTCGGATCTATCTGCATACAAAGGTGCTGTTGAACAGTTCCTTCGAAATATTCCAGATGATGGCTGCACTACTGTTGATCTACAACCTCTACTAGCGAATCTCGTAAGTGTTGCACTTTGACAAGATAACAGGCGATGAGATACTTATGATACTAATAGTATTTAGAAACATGCTTGAAATTTCTGATAGGTATTTCCCCAGATACCAGCAATGAAGGTGAAAGGAAAAAAGCAACAGAGTTTATTAAAGCTTTCAACGCATCTATGATCGGAATGGGACTCTCATTCATGATAGGTCCTTTCAAATTTCTAATCCCGAAATCACTCACAACTATTGCTCACAAGCAAGTGTATGAATACATTGATGTTTTAGTTGATAATGCTTTAGAAAAGACACGGGAAGAGCCCAGCTATAAGGACAATTCAAATGTACCAATGCAAAAGAGTCTTCTGGACGGTCTCGCTAAGCAGACTGATGATCGCATAGAGATTCGTCAGAATATTATTCAGGGGATGATGGCAGCGCAAGGTACTACATACGTTTTGATAAGCAACACCTTATTCCTTCTTTCGCGCAATCCGGATCTTTATGAAAGACTTCGAGACGAGGTACGATATGTGGACCTTGAGGTTTCTTCTCAGCTGTTTGATGTACTACGAGATCACGTTTTCCTTCAGAACATTCTGCGTGAATGTAAGTTAAAGAAGTCTGTGAGATTTAAAAGTGGGACGAATGTACTGATAAGCCGGCTCTCTAGCTCTTCGCATATACCCTGTGTTCCCCATCATGAACCACATTGCTCTCCGCGACACAATACTACCAAGAGGAGGAGGTATAAACGGAGAATCTCCAATCTTCGCACCTAAAGGTACAACGATATATACGAACCAATATGCTCTACATCGTGACGAGAAAGTCTTCGGAAACGATTTTGAATCCTTCAAACCAGATCGATGGGATTCCGTCAATTGCAAACCAACCTCTTGGGAATATATGCCTTTTGGTGGAGGACCACGGGCTTGTGTCGGTCAACAGAAAGCACTGGTAGAGGCGGCGTATACCGTGGCGAAGATTGCACAGGTGTATAAGGGATTGGAGAGTCGTGACGATAGAGACTGGGAAGGCGAGTGGAAGTTGACGGCGAAGAATGTAAATGGATGTAAAGTTGTATGTATCCCAGCATGAATCGTTTTACTTAAATGGTAGAACCTTTGTAAATTAAACCTCGTACCATCTATCTTCTCAAAAGTCCTGGGTCATAAACGGAAAAGACTCCAAATATACCTCCCAAGTGCTCCAACAACCTACTTAATCACCTAAGAGAAATTGTTCCCTTACACCCTATAATCATCACCAATCACGCTCCTTTGTACCCTCACAAACTCTGCTCGCAACGATGACGAGAGCACACAAAGTTGGAACTGAACCTACTGCCCAAGTCAGCCCAACGAATATTTATATAACATGTCAGTCAATCGAAAAACTGAAGTATTCCCGCAACCACTTACCCCAATCTACGAACAAACCCCTCAGCATAAATAACCATTCTATCACAACACAAAATCTTGAGCTAGCATCATCGTCCGCTTCACCCTTCACACTTCACACAATTAACGTCATGGCATAGTACGACGCAACCAACAATCAAGTTACGATAAATTACCCCACCACGGCTCATTGAGCTAAACTTGTTAGGTTAGCAACCGCAGCACTTAGCTTCGTTGTACAATTTAGCTTGAAGTATTCAGCTCCATCATATCAGCCAGCTTCATTTAGCAGTTGGGTTCATCGCGCGCTATACCCTCTAAATCATACCAGAACCCGTGATAGACATATGGAATGGCAATACCACAAAGATAATCTACCATGAAGTAGATACTGAGTGCGTGTTACGTTACTACTTTGATATGAAGCAGATATCTCAGATTTCATCTGTGGTGAGGGTGTTCTCCTCAACTTCTCTTCTAATCAAGAACAGCTTTGTCGAAGATCTCTGCAGACTCTCTTCTCACATCCAGATCCATCGTTTAGGAAAGAGGAAAGACTAGAATCGGTGCAGATAGAATATGCATAAACGATTTTTCTTCAATGGAAGGATTAGTGACACTTCTTTTGTTGTCACAAGTCGTGCATATGTTCGAATTTATCTTGAGAACCCTTCTCCGCTCCTGATTCATATCTTTAATGCAGGTCAAGCAGCATGCTTTATCACTTCCTCTAAGTTCTGCTGTCGATTGCGAAATCTATGCAAGTTCATTTGTTCAGCAAATTGACAAGATTGAGTAATCATCATATCGGCGCACCCCGAAGACTAAATCCTATATTTCTATATTCCCCGCATTCAAAAAAAAATGATGGTGTTGCCCTTCTAAAATCTTCCTTTACTGGAATCACCCAGAGATGCTGCTTGATATCTTCCACATCCACTATATCATAACCTCAGCTATCGAAGTTACTATTCCAAAACTGGCTATCGTTGCAGGATACTGCTTTGATTCTGAACCTCTAGACACCACATGTAAGGCCTATCATTATCATGTAACAAGACTCGCATTTGTCGAGAAATATGCACAAATATGAAATCAAGAAACGAAATCCGTGAAACCTTCCGTAAAGATTCCAATATCAAGGATTATTTGGAGCAGGATGAAGGTGCATTGCAGCCTCAAGTAATGCCAGTAGATGGATTTGGAATTTTATTACAAAGCGATCGATCATCGAACACATCAGGGGGTTCAATTTCCCGTGCCATTACCCCTCGTGTAGGTTCGCAACTCCGTTTTTGCTCACACAATTCCAATAGAGATAGTTAGGCATGATAGCATCATTGAAACCCCAAAATTCGTGATATGCTATGTAACTTACAAATAAGAAAAAACGTAGGATTGTGACACCCAGAAAGAGGGGTAGTGATCTTGGAACAATCAATTACTCGGTTACAAACAGGGGAATCTCCAGAGCGACGCACGCTCTAACTGGCGCCAACAACTCCCGCAATCTAGAGGGGTAGCAACAAGGTAAACTGTGGCGTTTGGGCAATAGCTGAAAGGTAGCTCTATGATATGAATCGTACGAGCCAATCTCTGACGCGATGGCAGCTTAAGAGAATCAATAGGGTAGCATTATCCGAAAGCCTTCAGTAACTATCTAGACCAGAGTGGTGGCGTGCGGGGAAAACTCTGGACGGATCCGCATTCAGTTACTTGCATTTGTGTCACAATGTCAATCACGCTACATGCATCATTAGCATTGCATATCAGCTTTAATATCGCAATGGCACCGAAGAAAAAATACGAGTTATTTGATGAAATGATACAATCTGGAGAAGCGATCTCCGGATAGTACGACTGTACCTTGCCAAAATCGCAATTTTTTGAAGTAAAAGAATGACGAAATGGGTGAATTGCAGTACGTGGTGTTGAACCGAAGGTTTCATTGACATGCAGAGTTTTCAATCTGCAACTTGCAGATGTCTTCATGGCTGGCTGATACAGGTGTACAGCGTGGCCTGACATCTACTCAACAATGCAGAAATGCTAACTATCAGTTGGTACAATGTTGAAGCGGGATATCACAATTTTGCCTACCCCATTGAAGCTATATAAACTCCAGAATCTCTCCCACAAAATCCAATTCTCAACCTCAGATCATCCTAAAGAAAACACCACTCTACAAAGCTTTTGCAACTTCCATTGCTAGGTAAGATATCTCCTTCTTGATTCGATATTTTGGCTTACACCTGAAATCTAGCCATCTACTATCGAACTTCCAGACAAATTTCAAACCAGTCATCATCAAATACCCTCCAGTAAGCTACGATAAATCACACATCGACTAACAAACCCAGCTAACATCTCCATAGAAAAAATGGGTGCCAATACCATCACTGTAACCAACAACTCCACCTCTGACGTTTCCGTCAGTGTCACATACAACGGAAACGACTTTCAAAAGGGCGGAAGCGAGCTCTGGTATACTCTTAAAGCCAACGGAGGATCCGATACCTGGAATTACAGGTCCGGCAATCAAATCGCCAGAGTTGCTAGAAGCCAGAATGCTGGCACAGGAATCGAGTTTTTCCTCGCTGTACCAGGGAAAACCATCTACATCAACTAGTTGCATACTACTGGTGGCAGGTTTTCTCTTCCTGATGGAATGAAAACCCAGTAGTGTCACACCCACAATTGAAAAAAATGGTTCATCACAATAACTTAGCTATATTGGATACTGAATGAATATAGCAACATAACCCAACATTAATGGCCTTTTCAAAGATTTCAGAGTGTGACTGTGAACCTGAACGTGAACACCAATCTAAATGTGAATAGAAAAAGAGAGGCTGATTAACGAATCAAGTTTGCAAATATCTTTGCTTTGAAAGGTCTCTAAACGCACGAAGTATTTGGATAGACAAATTCGAGCCCCTAAATACTCAATGAACTTGCATATTTTGTACAGGATATTCCGAATTTTAGAGACATCCTTGGATCAATGGTTCAAGACTTCTTGCACCAAGTAGGATAGAGTAGACGTTTGCAAAAGGTCAAAAAGATATTATGCTTAAAAGGAGACTTTCGAGTCAAATGCAAAACAATTGGGGTGGTGAAGTAATTTGTCAATGATTACTCGCAAATACCAAAATATCATAATGCAACCTGACCAGCCGATCCTTTTCCAAGCCCTCTGCTTCACTTGCCTATAATATGTCACCATATTTCATAGCCAAAATGATAATCACGGTATATGTACAACTAGTACTTGCATTTACTGCACGCACCTCCCAATCTTATCACGTCTCAATCTTCCTACTCTTCATCAATATTTCACCACATCACCTCTCAATCTCAGCCAGCTTTTCCCTCGGTGGTAGTGCTTCTGGTCCAAAAGACAATGGTAGGAGCTAGATATACCATGTTGCATTAGTATGCCAAACAAACTTTTAGACCACAAACAGAATCCCAAGTAAAAGTGTGTACTAGGAGTGAGTAAGTCGGAAAAATAAACGTATCACATACCTCTCCTAACCTCGCAACCATAAAATCCCCATTCTTGTCAAACATAAAAATTGGCATATCCAGCTCGCAGAATTCACGGATGCTATATTAATCCACAAAGATTAGCAGTTTCTCTTAGTCCAGTATCTCTCATCAAGTCCATGATTCCTAAATCCCAGCTCCCTCCGGCTCCCTTCATCCCCTCCCTATATCCCTCCCCATTTCCCAATCTCCATCCATATCCACACTTCCCAGCAACGAAACCCAAACCCAAGCCCAAAAACGCAAACAAAAAACCAAGCACACTCACAACTGTCTACACATCCCACACGGACTCGCCGGCGGACTAATATCCGTCGCCACGCCAATCGCCCGAAACCCTCTCTGCCCCTCCGTAATCGCCTTCCCAAACGCAACTCTCTCCGCACAGGTTCCCACCGGATACGCAGCATTTTCTACATTCGCGCCATCGATGTATTTTCCCTCGTGGGTGAGAATCGTAGACCCGACGCGGAAATTCGAATACGGGCAGTAGGCGGTGGATTTGGCGGATGCGCTGCGCGATTGGAGGGTGTGGATTTGTTCGCTGGTGAGGGAGTAGGTTTCGCTGGCGAAGGATATGTCGGATGGGTCGTTGCCGCGGAGTAATTTTGGTTGGGGGAAGGCCATTTTTGTGCTTGTGTTTGTGTTTTGTTATGAGAGGTTTGGAAGAAAAGGTGGATGTTAACACATTGAAATGTAAGTTGAGTTGTGAGTAGAGATAGATATAGATATAGATTGTGAGGTGAGGTCATTTCGCGATAGGTAATGATAACGATAAAGGGAAGGTGTTTAAGCTCCCCCCGCTCTATTACCTAACTTTTAATTCACGTCAATAGATAAGTTACACAATTAATTATATTATATAGAATTATTTAAGAACATAAGCATCCAATTCAAATCATTACTCCAATTACTCAATTCTACTTCTGAATGTATTGTTGTAATATTTCAAACTTGATCCCTCGTACAAAAAGAACCCCGCTACCCCTCCAATTCGACCACACCTACTCGAGTATGGATATACCAAGTATATATCGATACTGGGTTGTGTTAGCATATGAAATACACTTCTTATATTTTCCCTTCTGACCAAACTCTGTGATAATCAACTAAAACTCGAAATTTCAATAGTATCCAAACTGAACACCAGTTAGTCGAGAGGTAACAGCTCCATCCAGCCGAACCACCAAGAGTCACCATTCTCGAATGTCGAGAGGTTCAAGATTCTACGAGTACAAAAGGTATTCGAGAAGCGTATTCCTTTCACTCGTCCCTCCCATTCCTCATACATTTACACCACCATCACAAACGATGGGAAGAGAAGAGGGGAGCATCTAGATAGTAAGGTTAAATCAATATCATAGAAAGATTTTTCAAGTCTACATAGCTTGATAACTTCATAACTTCTTGTTAAGTAACTTCATAACCTCATAGCTTAACAAGATCTCAGAAGATTCGGGGGCATGCCATCCTTTCCCTCCTTCACTTCCATCTGCCCCCCCACTGTCTTCTCCTATCATCTACACTACATCCCACCAACCCCATCCCATCCCTCACCCTTTCTCCAGACACAACACAACACCAAGCTTACTTGCTTCACAAACCCATTCACAAACCCATTCCCCAATCCATCCCATTCCCCGATCCAACCCAATCCATTCCATTCCCCGATCCAACCCAATCCAACCCCAAAACCAACACACCACTCCTCATCCTTCCTCTCCCACTCTCCCACTCTCCCCCTCCCTCCCCCAAGACACAGTCCGCATCAAAATCAACATCACTCACTCAAGCAACCCCATAATCCAATCACAACCCTTCAAACCAACGCAGAATCTCTACATTCCATTTCCCCTCTATCCATTCAGATGCCATTTCATTTCATCTCATGCCGTGCCATCCCCATCTCTTAAACTCTATCCCCGGAGCTTTCAGATCATACAGTCTAATCTAAATCTCAGACCCATTCATCATGATCCAGGAACTTTCCGGAATCTCACCTCCGTCTCCAACTTTTCAGATCTCACATCTACTAGCAGCAATCAATAGTCCCGCAAAGTGGTCGACAGATTTTTAGTTTTACTTTCATATATCATTTTCATTTTACTCTTCTCTACCACTTCTTCCGCCCACCATTCTCATTTCAATCAATCACCTATCTACATTCCCCACACGCATCGTCCTAATGCATCCCATCTGCTCAAACTTCACCGTAGACCGAAGACCGAACAGAGATTGAAACAATAGCTCAGCTCAGTCCATCTCAGTCCACTACCTCACAAAATTCCCCGCCTCCAAGATCTGAACATCCCAAACATTCCTTGCACCAATTTAATCTTTGGTGACTTGAATAGGAGTAACTGCGTATGTAGGTCTGACGTATCTATAATGTCAAAATATCAGCATCATCTTCTTACCACTATCCTTCTCCACTCCATTCCTTTCCATCCCTAAGACTCTTCCCAGATAAACAATCAAAACAACGTACCTATCACTGTTATATGGACTAGTCTCACTGCCCAACAATTCCTTTTCTCTCTTCAAATCTGCCCAATGTCTTCTGACAAGGTCACGATCGGTTTCCGCTGTCAAAAGTGGGATCAAATGGATTCTAGACCACATTTTTTCACGGGCAAGTTCACTGTTTAATATTTGTTAGTAAATCATCCATTTAAATCGTCTGGTTAGGAAAGAGGCGTCCTGATATTTGAACGTATAATTCAAAGTCATATCCAAGCTCTTCAGACGTTATTTCTGAATCGTTCAAGAAAATTCATGAATTTAATCAAACCCCTCAGAGCCTTCCACCGAGATACTCATAGACATAAGTCTCCCCTTCAATCCTCAACACTCCAAAACCTAAAAAAAAAACACTTACTTCTGTTCCCGGATTCCCTTTCCTACTTTCCAGAATCCATATGTCATAACTCCAGCCATGGCCAAAAGCATAACCGAGGGTCTGAAACCGCGTGCTGGAAGATTTCTCTATAATTTTCAAAGACAAAATATTAGCTTGCCGTTCTTTTGAACTCTGGGTGCCTTTCTTTCTCCTTTCGCCCCACAATCTCTCTCTCCCTTCCGCCCCTGTTCATCTGACTATATAAACATCTGACTATCTACGTCGGACCCGTGTAAGATTAAGACGAGGATGAGGACGAAGAACTAGCGTGATATGCGTATGGAGATCAATCGTCGTGTATCGTTGTTTGGAAAATCTCGCGGTCTCATAATGAATGACGCTCCGCTGGCCCTCCGGGGGCCACTGCCGTGGAGGCCGACTATTTGGTTCATTCCATCCCATCAAACCACTTCTTCTTTCACCACTCTCCCTACTTCCCTATGCACCACACCCAGCACCTCATTCTCATTGACAGACATCAAATATCGAACGTTAAATCTCTACCCCTCCATTACCCCCAATCTCCCGATTCCACAAATCCATCACACCTACCCCTCCATCGCAACGCACCGTGTATTCTCCGTTCGCATTTTTTCATATAATCCTCATCTTCTATCCCCCATCATTGTTGATAGTTCCATCCCATCTCATCCTATCCGATTTCTTCAATCTCCCCAATCCCGATGATCAATACAACCCCCCAACATCAACCATCAAACACAGCAGCACATCCCAACACACAACCATCCACAATTCATTCCGCACTCCCCTCCACAATATCTCAATACATAGCAGTCGCAGTCCCAGCAGTATTCTTCTTCGTTTTCATTTTCGTTTTCGTTCCGTTTCGTCCTCATCCTCGTCGTAGTCATGATCGTGATCGTGTTCATAGTCGTGCCCGTTCCAATTCCATCCCACTACTCCCTCTACTTCTCCTCCTTCTTCTCCTCCTAATATATCATCCATCCCATCCCATCCCATTGCAATCCATCTCTCCCATCTCCCCGCTTCTCAATGCCCCATCTCCTTTCCCCTCTCCCCTCCTTTCCCCAAACCCCAAACCCCAAACCCCAAACCTCCCTTCCCCCTTCCCTTCTCCTCTCCCGCAAAAACAAAAGAAACGAAAAAGGAAATCCCACCACACACCTTATACTGCACGGCTTCATACCCGCCCTTTGGCGGCATATCCTGAGGCATATTTGCTGATTTTTCTTCCCTCAAACTAATATGTGTTTCCTCGATCTTCTTTCTTCTATCCCTTGATCGCGACGTCACAAGGTAGGATACAGAATATGGCGTAAGTGAGTTGTTTGTAATAGTCAATGTGGTGTGGTATGCTTTCGAGATTGAATGTTATCGCTCAATCAAGCTCTAATTTATTCATGCCTGGAATTCAAGGCCTACGGTTCGTAGCCCTCCCGAGATCCACACCTGCACAATTGACTTGGTCTGAGCGTTCGTAACCAATAAACATCAAGATTTTACTATGCTCGAGTGCGTATAATACATCAATCCTCATCATCGTCCTCAAATACAAATCTCGTAATCATCTCATCATAAAACTCATCTCAATCTCAATCTCATAGACTCAATAATTCTTCAATCTTCAAATAACGCCCAACTAATGCACAAAACCAATCCCATCCCGTCCCTTCCCGCCAAACCCCCATCCCAATTCCAAATCTCCCAACCCCAATTCCCGAACATGCCATTCCTATTCACCTAGTTTCCCAGATTCCATCCACAAAACACCTTAAAAGCAATAATAAACCACGCTTTAAAATGATATGATGGCTGACAAAAGAGTTCTCGTTTCCTCGTCATGCGCAATTCTTCCCCTCATGCCAAACAGCAAGGACTCTTGATAAAGTTCGACCCAGGTGCAATGCAATGCAAACAGCAAAGTCAACCGGCGGCAGCAGCCGCTTCTTCCTCCAGTTCCAGATCAAAAGCAGCCTGCATTTCGGCTTCCAGATCATCTTCAAAACTATGATCACTTTCCTCCGCCATAACTTGATTAACCTCGTCATTTTCATCACCCGTAACCCCCGGGGTAAGAAGACTCGATTCCGTGGTACTATTTGGCGTTTTTACAGTTTTCAGGCCCGTTGTTCTTGAATTAGCTACTCGCTGCTTTTTTGCCATGGTACTTTCTTCTTCACTTTCGTCTTCGTCCGTCGCATCGTCGAATCTTCGTTTATGTCCTCTTCTGGAACTTGTACGCGATGTTCGACTGTTGTTACTGTTATTACTGGTGAAACTTGTGTCGCTCTCTGTACCAGATTCATCATCACCCATGAATTCGGCTAATTCGTCATCTATTGATGACCAATTGAGATCCGTCGTGGGAGAGATGTCACCTCGTGGTTCATCCGGCATAACACCTTCTCCATCTAGCTCAGATCTTGTGTCGTCATCTTCAAAATCTTCACTCTCGGTGTAGTCTGAAGATTCCTCGCTATCTTCACCAGGAGATGGAATATTAGTCAAATCGCCACTTTGTCTCCTATCAGCTGGATTTATTTCCACCTAATGGATATATTAATATTGCCCATAAGAAAATAATGGAGAGTTTAACCTACCAAATACTCTGATTCATCTTCCTTTTTCCACTTGCTCATTGACTGAGTCAACCATTGTTGTGTGACTATCTTAATGTGAGGATATTTTGCCGCTTCTCGAACTTTTTGTGTACGAGTTTTCTGTGACGAAGCAACGACATGAGTGACTCTCTTTGAAACTCTATAATTTATTAGTGACCCCTCTATAAAACACCATGGTAGTACATACTTTTTATGAATTTTGCCACCAAAGCTTTCTATCTGCTGAGCAATTTCAGATCTGAGTTTGGTTAGTTTGGATTTTCCCTTGGCCCTTTCTAAACCCCACACGCTAGAGAATATACACAATAAAATTTCTTGCGAAATAGAATCATAGGTGGTATCAACTAACCTCATAAGGTCAACTCCCAAAGGAACTAAACCCGACATTACTATTACACATCCATCTAAAACTTGAGACCTAAAAGTTGGTTAGCAAAACAGTCCTGGGTGGCATCGCTTTTGTGGACGGGAATCCATACTTGAGACGCGGCATCACAACTGCAATATTGGGTACCACTTTGAGATCGGCAGCTTCATTCTTGACGTTGACCTTTCTTTGATGCCCAGGTTTTAGTTGTGCAACTCGTCCACCTGGAACATTGACCAAAGCTTTATCGTATTCTTCATAGAAAGCTCTGTGCAAATCCGTAAGATGTTGTTGAAGATAAGTCAGTTCGACGTCGTCATCCTTAAGAACACTGTGCCGATGCGTGTGATGTTCAGCTGTGCCATCCTCAACCGCCTTTTCTGCTTCTTCCTGTTTTTTGTCGGCTTCGTCTAGTTCTTCTTGTTTGTGAAGTAATGGTCGATCCCTTAATTGTTGCTCCAAGAATTTCTCTTGCTCCGCTGCTTGTTCAAGTAATGAAGCGTCATCGTCTAAGGTGTTAAGTTTCGGTAGAATTGGTTTCTCAGTTGCTGGTTCCTCCTTGGTTTCTACGGCAGATTTGGTTTCGCTTCCTTCAGGTTCTGTAGGCTTTGCAACTTCTCCAATAGGTGTTTCGACCGTCTCGAGTGTGCTGGTCTCCGGCTTTGAGTGATGTTTCTTTTTGGGTGTGGATATTTTAGGAAGCTCTTCTCTTTTCGGCAGGAAACTCGAATTAATATCCCCGATACCAGTGAAGAAATCATAAGGAACAACCTTGATAAGATTAGGACGATTCATTGGCCAAACGTCTGCGCGATCATCAATAATTGCCACCATGTGCGTGCTCTGAGGGAATAATCTAGCCAGACTCTTTGCCGTGACGTTGCCGTTCTCGTCTCGACTGATGATACGATCACCAAATAATTTCTTTCCAGGGTCGACGATCTTTGCAATATTTAATGCGTATGCTCGAGTACCCATAGTGTAAACATGTAGCTCATACATTTCGGAGACTTTTGCGAGAAACTCCGCAAGACCAGGGCGCATTTTAATGTAGTACCAACAACCGGATGCGAGACCGCGAGGACCATCATCATTGAGTTGGAAGGATCGCACATCTTTGACGGCCTCGTAGTTTGGTGAATTGACATCGCGTTGCCATTCTCCAACAGTAGGTTCAATACAAGCATGGATAATGGTCTGATCCAGATCCACCACCAATGAAAGTTTTCGATTCTTAAGTAGCCGCCGTTGTAATTCTTCCTCTGCCTTCGAAGCTTCGTCAAGACTAACTGTGAGGTGTGTTTGGTCGTGGATCATATTGATTCTAGCTCGGTCTGTATCGAGCGTACTGGTGGCCCAAGAGACCTCGGTCATATCTTTTCCACACATCCCACAAAGTCCCGCAAACTGGACAGCATGCGAACAACTTTCTTCAACATCGACAACAGGTCCATCGCTCTCAATTGTCATACCTTCTTTGACTAACCATTTCTCGATAGTACCGTCAGAAGGACTATCCCATGCCCCATACGATGTTTGTTCTTCTTCCCATTGTTCGCCCAATGGATCACCAACCATTAGCTTCCAATGATATTTATATTCGAGGAGTGAGTCCCGTTTCGAAATCGGATCGCCATGTTTCTTGAATAACTTGGTGATTGTAATTGGGTACCTTAAATTCGGACCCAAGGTTAATGTCTTTCCCATTTTGATATCCTCCTTCGCAAAGCTGTCGTTGGATGTGTGATCATGCGATCCCGGGTGGGTCGGTTCTATTTGTTGAAAGATGAATCGTCAGTAACTGAGCTTAAAATAGTCAAAGAGTAGAATGCGCGCGCAGATGAAAGGAAGCTGATGAGCAGTTGGATCGCAAATCGCAAATCGCATATGACAAGAAGCAAGCCACAGCACCTTGGGAGAGGCCGTCGCAAAGCGCAATACAATTCCAGGAAAATTCGCAGAAGCTTAAAGCAAGCTTCAAGGATAGATACAATAGATATCTACAAGCTGTTGAAAGACCTACGAATTCAATTTAAGCTTCTTGAAAGCTCTCATAAATATCGCGTGGAGTTGTTCAGCATTGTAAGATTCCATGTACACCACTTCTTCCTTATTCAAGCCTGTAAGCCACAAAGAAGGTTGAGGTAACCACCAAAATGGGCGGGGATGAATGATGGGTTTCTTGATTTTGCGATCTTTCAATATATACCTTTTCTTTTCTTTTTCAATTAGGAATTCTTTGGGATTTTATTTGAATTGTGTTTCCTGTCGGGATGAAGGTTTCTGATATCCGCGGAAGGATTTGACGTTGTTGCGATTGAGAAAATTGGATTTAAAGGATTGAAAAGTAAGCGGTATTGTAGTTTTTGGAGCTCTGAAGTTGAATCGTTTGTTGACTTTATATGTTCACATCAATCGCACGAACGCGACTACTGTGGAAGCTTATAAAGGGTGGGTGGGTGTGCAGTTGTGTGAATGGGAGTACACCTTGCTGAGTTAAAATAAGGCAACAAGGCAACAAGGCATGAATAGATGTCGAATTGAAGGAAGAGAACAACAGGTAAGATGACTTTTTACCGCTAAAGTTGAGATACACACCCAAACAAGTGAATTTTTGACAAAGGAGGAGAAGGGGGGGACTTTTTATATGTGTGATCAGCTTGTTCCTTGCTCTTGATGTCTATTCTCTGAGTGAGGGAACAATGATTGGTTGATGAAGCGGGATAAAAGATGCTACTATAAAAATTACATGGATGAAGTAGAAGAATGAGGAGAATATGAACATCATCGACATATCATCATCATTCATCGTAACTCCATGTTTTCTTTCATTCACTTATCTAGTAATAAAGCGGTGGGTAGGTGGATATCTATATAAATCAATAAGACCAAATCTCGTGACCATGATCTAAATAGACCTCGGGATACCTAGTATGTACTATCTAGGTAGGGAGTTTTGAATGAAGTGAAGTGAATGTAAAAATTGATACGGAAACCTCGAGGGTTTATATAGGTACCTAGGTATACATATAGGTATATAAATATATTCAAAAATGTAAAATTTTTATAGATGCCTAATAGGTAGATAGTAGATAATAAGTATGAATCATTCAGTTACCTATTACTCATTCCAATCTCCCTCTATTACTCACCTCATACCCATACCTACAGCCTTCTCGTACCGCACCTACAGTCACGACTCACTCCACACAACTTGATACCCCTAG